AGAAAACGCGCCTGTAAAAGCTGCGTGAGCGTGTGTGCGTGCGCGCACATTGCTGTAGCGCTGGCTTTCCAGCCCCGGTGGGTGACCCCGGTGACAGCGCAGAGCCGGGTGCTCGGGAATCCCGCCGTTTTGGTGACAAACGGCTGGTCAGAGCTTGCTGGCGTACCTCTGCGCCAGGAAACGACGCACCGCCGTGCTGAAAGCACCTGATTCCCGCTTATTCCCCTTCCTCGTGGAGGTGGGGGGAGATAGAGAATAAAAAATGACTTTTAGTTACCTTCTGCATTTCGAGATCCCTGGTGTTGTTCCAGGCCCAGCCCCATCTCCGTATGTACGTTTGAGGAAGCCTCTGCCGATGTAAACTCCACTGCCCCTTAGCTTTGAAGGAACAGAGCAGCAGTGGTGCGATGCTCCATGGCCAGCCCTCCTCCTCACCCACCCTGGGGCTGGAGGCAGAGCGCTGCTTTGAATAATCTTTGTTTGCTTTGTATCAGTTGCGTGTCACCTACGGAAGCTCTCGTTAGAATATTGGTTTTGGACGACTTACCCCTCTAGTGTGGGGAAAGGATGTTGGTAAATCAGAAAATCAGCCTCGGTAAACCTAAGAGCAGGTTATACCTGCTGCGGCTCAGATGCTTATTTCAGCCTAAATCTCTGGTTTAATTCTTCCATTTAATGCTAAAAAAGTTACAGTAAATGACTGCATACAGTGGGTTTTTTCTATTTTTAGTTTTGTTTTTTTCCTTTAAATTTGTAGGAAGGATTTCTGCTAGGAGAGGTGAGACAAGAAGAGACCTTTAGCATTAGCGATTCCCAGATCAGCAACACTGAATTTCTGCAGGTGATTGGTAAGTAACAGAGCTTTGAGAAATTCTGGAGGAAGCGTCATTTGGTTTCTCAGGACAACAATTCAGCATTACTTCACTTGGGAGACCAACACAACGTGTTCCAACCTTTCAGAATCGCATTTGCGAGGATATTTGTGTGTTTGTGTGGTTGAGATGTGAGGAAAGGAAACAGCCCTTTGCTAGATATGGGGGTTTTATGCATCTCCTTTTGTGGAGGAAAGATCGTTCATCAAAGACGTTTTGCTGCATTTCATGATGGAGGAATTATTTGTTTGGCTTTTGGCCCCGCAGGGAGTTTCCTGCTTGATGGGGTTGCCTAAATACAAGCATGTGCTGAAAATAAAATAAACACGTTGCTTGATTTACTAATGCTGGAAGGGGGCAAACTTCCAGTGGAGGGTTTGGGTGAACGGCTGGTAGTTGATGACATCATAAATTGTCACAGCAAGATTTGCCGAGGAATATTTGTCGGACAGTTTGTAAGCACAAGGACTGTACAGCTGATGTGTCGTGAAAAGTGAAGGAAGATCTAAGATCTTGCTGTTGTTGGTTGGGGTAGGTATTTTTATACATGGGTGAGGAGATGTTGCATATTTTTGTCTCTGGTTTGTGGAAAATAGGAAACCTCTGAAAGAAAACACCTTTTTTTTGTTTACACATATAAAAACCCGAATGTGTACGTGCCTGGCTTTGTGGATCTGATTCTAGAGAAGGCAGCGGGGTCTGCATAAAGCTTAGCTGGTACCCAGACATCTTGTGATTGACTCTCAAGTGCTGTTCTGATGCAGAACTAATGCTCTGGGACAGTGTTACGTGTGTTACATCTCCAGCTACTTGCCACCTCAAAGTAGTGATGGTTGTGTACACAACAATCCAGGAGGTTAGGTAGTTTCCTCTTCTGGTTATTCCGAAGGAAACAGGGATGATAAATTGACGGTGTGAAGGGTCAGTTAATTACAATTAAGTAATTGTGCTAAATTACAAAAGAATGAAGGCACAGGATTTTTGTGTGTGTGTATATAATCCCTGTCAAGGTATTGTGTAAAGGAAGGCAGCTGATAGCCGTGTCTGTTCAGACAGAACTAGACATTACTGTAACTGGTCTCGGGTATTGTTGACTGTGTAATACAGTGATGTCACCAACTGCAGCCTCAGCGTGGTTTCAGCTTGTGGTGTTAAAAATTATTCCCTTTTTAGACAACTCTTTTGTCATATTCTTGGTTATAGTTGTTTTCTGAGAAGCGAAATTACCTGCCCCTGGAGATCTTCTGGATATTTTTTTTCCTTTACCAAATTTTTACTTCAATGTTTTGTCATCAACATTGACTCTTAAAACTGAGATTGACGGTTTTGTGGCACTGTTGTCACAGATGAGTTTAACATTCTTGCATGTCTGCCATCTCAAGGCTTAGTGGTGGTGTTTGGGTGTCTATGTATGTATAAAAAAAATAAGTCAGTGTGTAAAACTTAAATTTAGAGTGATGGCTGCTTCATGTATTCTGAGCAGTAGACTTGTTGCTTCCTTTTTTTTTTTCCTCCAAAAGACAAGGTCTGTGGAGCAGCAGCGTAATAACCCAAGACTCAACTCTGTGTGTTCTCAGTTGTTGTAGTCAGTGTATTTGTTGGAAGGAGTTGATCTAAGCTGGAATAATTACACTTACGGCTTTGTGTAGCAGCTTGTTTCACAGATTCCCGTGTGCCAGTGTGAAAATACGGAGTTGATAGACTTCTAAACAATTCCAAATAAAGGGAGTCGGTAACAGCAGCATCATGCCGAGTCCTTGCCAGTGCCAGCGCGGGGTTGCTCAGGCAGCACGCCTGCCGTGGATGTGCAGGGCTTTGTTTTGATAGTGGCTAAATATGCTGAGATGCTCATGTGTCTAGTCTGTTGTTCCTGGGAGTTGTGATCTGATTGTGGCTCTGCTGAGATGGCAGTCACGAGCAGGCTGTGACTTTCCGAACAGCAGGTGGTGAGTCACTCTCCAGGAAGGAAGAGCCTAAACAAAGTTGTTGCTGAACGCTCCAGCCGGGTGCTAATACAGGAGCTTGAAATATTACTGCTGCAGAGGTGCTATCCAGTCTGAGCAAGTACAGTGTCAGACAAAAGGGGTGTGTGATCAAGGTGTAACAACATGGGTAATGGTGAGCTGGATTTGGTAAAAGGTCAGAGTAGAGAACTTTGGAGAAGTGCTAAACACCATAAAAGTTCGTTGTGTTAGGTAATGTGGATTGGGTTTTTGTTCTTTTTTTTCCTCCGAGATTGCTGACGTGCTATAACCTTTGCTGCTTAAATAAGCATCTTCGTGTTTATTATGGCTTCTTCAATGAAAAAATACCGCTGTGACTTTTTAATACTTCATACAACGGAATTAGAAATTGCTGGTAACTGTTTTGGAGTGGCATTTAACCCCTTTTCTCGTCGCAGAGTCTGTTTGCCTTGCCTCTTTAAATACTCCAGTGTGTGTGTATGTGTATATATATATATAATGTGTAACATTTCAGTTCCCTTTTTTTTTTATTCATTGTTGCTGTAATAAACAGTGTATACGCATGCAAGTAAACTGTTGTGGAAAGGTATCAAAAAGAAAAAAATCAAATGCCTTTGTGAGGAGGCGACAACTAGAAATAGTATCAAAAGCGTGTATTTGAGGGTTAGATATGTCCGTGTGTATCTGAGCAAGTCCGTCTTGCTTTGTTAAAATATTTTCCTCTGTCAAATGGCAGATTAGGAAGAGAAGCTAGTTTTCTGGGTATGGTGCTGTGTCATCAAGTGTCGCCGAGACATTAAGGGCAGTGTGTGGTCTGACCCAAACGTTTATTTGCTCAGTAGCTGTGATGTGGAAAGTTCATGCAAGATATGCCACTGTAATTTTTCTTTATCTTGAGCAGCTGGACATGTGTCTCTTCTTTTTTTTTTGTTTGTTGTTGCAGAAATCCATAACCATGAGCCTTGTTCAAAACTCTTTAGGTAAGCATTTTCTGTTGTCTTCCTGTGTTGGCTGCAGAATATAAAAATAGGTAGAAATATATTAGCATTTCAAATGTACCTACCAATGTTTGCTTATCGATGATACTACAGAAATACATGTAAATGGCACCAACCATGACAATGAAAGTATGAATTTACAGGTTTAATAGCAGAAAGGGTGGTGTAAATGCCTGGAGTTTACGTCAGAAAGGGTGCTGAGGTAACTAGTGCAGGCTTATTTCTCTGTCTCTCTGAATTTCCACCTCATGCAGTTAGCTGGAGGTAGGATAGCAGTTGGATCAAATCGTATCACTGTGATAATTAGGATGAATGTCAAAGCCAATTTACATTACCATAGTCTTAGGTCAGCTCTGCTTGGGCCTGGTGGGTCACAGAACTCGTTGGGTGTCCTCTCCTTAGTAACTTGCCGGGTTAACGAGTTGTTTTGTGGTGAGTTGTACTGACTTGCACCAACTAATTATTCTGAAACTTTCAGCTTACTAGTTATTTTTGCCTTCTGATCTGCTGTACTCCAGAATTTAAATTCAATATGGGACTAATATATTCTATTTAGCAGCTTCCATCTATTTACATGTAGCTTTTCTCTATAGTCTTCACTTGTTACACAGTGACGGCTTCTAAATTGCTGTCTAGAAATTCTTTTTAGAAGGAATTCCCAATTAATCTCTCTTGTCTTTGTGTAAAGATTTCCAGCCAATTAAGAAGACACAGTACCTTAGATATTATGATTGACGTTGGTTACATCAGAGAGAAAAGCTGCAGTCTATCATTTGCTATCTGCTACTCACAGAGAGGGTTCTCTTAACCCCGTGATTTAAATGCTAGAGACTCTACAGATCAAGATAATACCCCAGTGTCTAGTGGACTTTTTCTGGTTCCTAGTGATGCTTTGTGCAGCGCATAATCAAAACCGATCACGTTTACTGCTTCTCCCTGGTCGAGAAATTGGTTGTTAGTAACTGAGCTGATGGAGGAAGGGGAAGAAGTCGGTATTTCACTGCAGGCTTTCCGCACAAGAAAATGGGTGAATTTATTTACTTCAGAGCACAGGGGAAACTCTCACAGCTCATACAGGTTTTTATCCGTACCAGAGCCTGCTGTTGGTTTCTCTGTTCCGTTAGTCGTAGCAGATGCTGATTTTTGGGGCATTTTACCTTGTCCTTCTGACTTAAGCCCGTCCGAGGAGGCCTACCACTCATCAGCTCTGAATTCTTGTAAGCTGGTGCTGCTGATGCAGAGTGGTGCAGGCTCGGTTCCAGTGCTCTCACCAACACGTGGGAACTGAGTAAGAAGCAAGGATTTTGAAAGGACTGATTTTTCTGAGCCATTTTCAAAAGAAGGTGTTCTGTTACGTACCAGTTGCTTATCCCATAAGAAAATTATTCTTATAAAGCACAGAAAGAGAAAGAATTGGATATCTGCGACTTACAAAAATGTATAAATATTGTGAACATGAACTGAAAAAACTATGCAAATATGTTGTAGTATCTGAAATTAGTAATTGGTTGTGGTCTTAATATTGACAATAACTTGCATCTTGAAACAAATTTTATTTCCACCTTTATTTACCAGCCAAGTACTGAGCTTACGATTTTCTGTTGTGTTGTTTTGCTTTTTTTTTTACCCCCCCACACAAGAGTTGAGATCATAGACCTCTAAAACAGAGTGTTTTCCTGCACTGCTTTAGGTGTTAGTGATATCAGCTCTTGAAAGAGACTAAGGCCTTGGCAGGTAAGTCAAGGAGGAATCTGTTTTCAAATGTTTTTCCTTTTATCCTGAAGCGTGATCTACTTGAATTTATAAACCTGTCTGTGTAGATCGATTTATAAATTCTTAAATCTGTCGTGTCCTCAGAATAACAACATGTCAGGGTTTGGGCCTCGGTTCTGCAAGCAGAGCAAAAAGGAAAGGCCACGATACTTGGGATTCTTGCTGACCTCAGTATAGCTGTTTTGGTTTCAGGGATCCAGTCATGTGAGTCTAATTGCAGGACTGGAGCTCAAGAGGTTGATTTGTAGTTGCATGTAAAGTGGCCCTGCTTTCCTTCCTCCTTGGGCAGGTAGGCCTCTTATTATCAAAGCAGGGTTTTACAGAATGCTGGTCCAAATAAAAAGGCACAGTCCAGTTGTGTACATCACCCTTGTCGTGGGGGCTGCCAGTGAAATACTAGGCTTCAAGCTCATGGGTGCAATGAAAGCATTTTAAAACTAATAATTACAGGCATCTTGTGTTTCATTACTAGTGGTTTAAAAGTGGTTGGAGTTTCTGCACCAGCCAGGCTTATGCATCTAATTTAAATGCTCGGCGCCTTCCTCTGTAAGCAACTGCCTCTGTCTGAGCTGTGCAGTCAGACCTGGGCTTCTAACTGTGCTTGGTATGGCACCCGAGTGGGATACCCTGAGGAGGTGGTGTGAATACTGACCTGTGCTGATAAAGGTAAAACAGAAAAGTGTAGAAGTTGCCTTGTAATGCATAGAATGCCATCTGTTCGAAGAACACTCAAAGTATAAATTATTTACTTTACAATGTGTGTGTGTAAACTGTGTACCTACCTTTCTCTCTTCCTTTTTGGTTCAAGCTTTTATGACTATGCAGGCAAGGTTAATGAGGAGAGTTTGGACAGGATTCTTAAAGACCGAAGAAAAGTAAGTTTTCTATCTTTTCCTCCTGTTCTAGTCATTACAGCTTATAATTAGAGCCGTTTTGGAAAACCAACCCACCAAGGTAGTTAACTAGAAGAAATATTTTTGTTCCCAAATCTGATGGTTTGTTTTGACTCCTGGCTTATCCTGTACAGAAGTTGGTGGATTTGTGGTATTTAGGTTACACTGGGGGCAAGGTCTAAGTTCCCTGAAGAAATGAAAAGGATTTAAGTTTACGTCACCGGAAGTGAAGGGCTAGTATTAACCCACCCAAAATTTCTGAGTTAAACGTGTAGCATAATGATTGTGTATCCACGAAAATGTAGCTGATCTGACAAACTAAAGAGCTCATTTAAATGAGTTATGATGCTGTAGCCTTGTGACTGCAGTTTTAAACAGGGAAAACTGTTCTGTCAGTTACGTCAGATGTTGTCATAGCTTTAAGTCACCCGTATGTTGTTGGTAGCACAACTACTATTGAGAAGATTTAAATTTTAGTAGCTATTTGAAGAAGTCAAACCTTCTTTCAGTGCTTCATCTCATTCCATACATGAAGTGCACCATCTTGCTGGTTATTGATGGATTGATCTGGAAGTTCTCCTGAAATGATACATCCAAGAGCAGAGCTGAAGGTGTGGGTCCTCATGTAGTGAAGTGAATCCCGCCGGGTCGGCTTGCTCTGGCCAAAAGCGCATGGCTCGGTTTGTGGCAGCTGTGGGCCTCGTTAGACCCAGCAGGAAGGCATCCCCAGTTTGGCTCCCGAGGTCTCGTCACTGCCAGAGCTGGTACAAAGTCGGGGTGGTTCAAACAAGAACTTTTTTTCCCTTGTTTTATTTATATTGCAAAGCAGCAGCAGCAAACTGATGTCGTTCCAGCTGCTTGCAGAGCTGCTGACTACATTTTCACAAGCAGCAGAGCGATCTGCCGGGGTGTGACCTGGTGGGCTTTTGGGATTTCTGTCCTCTGTGGGTGATTCAGGGGGAACCTTCACTGCTCTGGTCTGAGTGAGGGTGCCTGCTGTGCGGACTGATCATCATTGCTCAAAGTGTGTGATGACAGTCGCTCAGTTGCTAATTGAATCGGCAGTCTGACTTTCTGCCCACCTTACCCACCTGAACTGTGGACTTTTGCTTACGGACAAGGCTTAAGGAGGGATCTTTAGGGAAGCAAGTCCTAAATCCGTGCGACTTCTGTAGCACTGATGATTGTAATGCTTTTTTTTTTCTTGTCTCTTTCTTCCAGCAAATGCTCTCAGAATAAACTCCTCTGTGTATACTGATGTATTTGTGCTGAGAACCTAGGTGCTTTGTGTGTATGTTTATACATACAGACACATACATCTATATGCTGATGATGGAGTGAGGTTCCAGTCCCAGATCCTGACTTCTGTAACCCTGTAGCTTTACTCTAGAACACTGCAGAGCACATTGCGTTCCCCTTCAGGAGACAAGGCAAAAACATAATTAAAAAATGGTTGTCTCCCACTAGTTTTCAGTTGAATTCTGTTTCGTTAGCACCTGCCTTACAGGAGAGCTCTGGCAGGACCATGATCTGTGGTGAAAAAGCAGGCCAGAATGGAGAAATTAAAACTTGCAACTGTCCTGTGGCTAGAGCACCAGATTTAATGATGTTAATTGTCATAATGTCAAAAAAGAAAGAAATACTGCTGTCTGGGAACCAAGACAGTCTTATATTCTCTTTGGTTAGCAAACTAAGCCCATTTTATTACATTCAGACTATGTAACTGTACAGGTTTACTATAAAAAGTTTAAAAACTGCTTCCAATTTTTCTATTTAACACGGGAGTCGTATTGTTTAATATGTAGAACCTGCTCTATTCCAGTGAATATATACGTGCAGTCCTATCACATCACAACATGATAGTGCCTATTCCTGGGGCTCTTCCTAAACCAATTTGTTAAGGGTGTGTCCTTTTTCATTAATCTCTTAAATTCAATGGTAGTTTAGGTGAAGTAAAGGAGTTTAAGGCATGTTGTACTCAAAAATAATCATTGAATTAGAATGGGTCTTATCTGACCTGCATATGAAATCTTTCCCAGTTCGATACGCACCGAGATAATTTTATTGTTGTACACAGCAGATTAGTCCCATGTGTCTCATGAACAGACGTGAATTTGCAAATATATTTGTGAAGCACTGGAAGCGTCTTGCAAATCAATACAAGTGCCTAGGCAGTTGGAGTATTTAGGCTAAAGAAACCCCACATCTGCTGTGTTTGAAAACAGCTCAAGTCTAGTAATTTGAAGATGCTCCGAGGTTTGTTGCTAAAATTAAGGAATTGAAGTATGTTGGAAGTGGGATCTTGAATGCCATCGAGGACACCCAGGTGTTCGTAGCACAACGAGGCTGAGCGATTGATAGGGGTGTTGTAACAGGTTGTCACTTGTTTGGGGTTCTTTAGTAGGTGCAAGCCTCTAGTAATTCAGTCTGATTTTGTTGTGATAAAGCTATGGGCTAATTCGTGCGATGAAGTTTTGGCAAGTTTATTATCAGAAGGTAAACCTGTATCTCTTGGTTAATACTTTGGTTTTTTTTTCTGATGTACTTTGATTACAGAACGTTATTGGATGGTACAGATTTAGGAGGAACACTCAGCAGCAAATGTCATACAGGGAGCACATCATTCATAAGCAGCTGACACACATTCTTGGAGTGCCTGATCTCGTCTTCCTTCTCTTCAGCTTCATTTCCACTGCAAATAACTCAACGCATGCTTTAGAATATGTGCTTTTTAGACCAAACCGAAGGTAAGCCATCTCTGTAGACGAACCCATCCTCATTTTTTTGTTCTGCTTCTTACTGCTCTTCTTTAAACTGTTTTGTACAGTTACACACAAAGAAGGCTTTGTGTTTGTCAAAGGATGTCAGGGTGTACAGTTGTTAGGGATGACAGCTTTCTTTTTTCCTGTGCAAGTAATTTATAAATTACAGTTTGGGGGTGAGTGAAAGTTCTTTTCAGTCTTTAAATCTTCAGGCAACAACAACCAAATATTTTAAAAGAAATCAGACATCAGTACCGTGTTCCTTATGGTAAACCTGAAAGTAGCTTCACCCTTCTTGTGTCTGTGGTGGCTTGAATGCACGGTTGAAAAGCTCTCAGAGGTATGGAGGTAGGCCCATCTCAAGGGAGCTTCTGATCGTGCGTTTATTTTGAAGACAACTCCTAAAGTTTAGCAGCTTTTATAATAAACCTGATGCAGAAGCTTTAGAATTAGATGAGTTGTGATCAGCAGAGAGATGCAATAATACCAATGCTATTGTAAATAATCTTCTGAATATGAATTAAGAAGTCGTTCTAAACTTTCTCTACAGGTATAATCAAAGAGTGTCGCTTACTATTCCTAATCTAGGCAACACTAGTCAACAGGAATACAAAGTTTCTTCAGTGCCAAATACTTCTCAGAATTATGCCAAAGTTATTAAGGAACACGGGTAAGGATTTTTTCCTTTGCAAATGGTGTACGGTCATCGAGCTCTGCGTGCTGTGCCTTCCAAAGAATACTACAAATAGGCATTTTGGGCAGGAAAAAAGTAGTTCTGGAGGAGAACGGTTAGTTCCTAGTGTGCTTTTTTTTCCTGCTTAGGGTTGAATCCTTTAGAAGATCAAAGGGGACTTGGGGCACTGATTGGAAAAGCAGAGTTGGTGTGGCCAGTTGGTGCTGTGAGCCTTCTGGCTGGAAGCCTCTTGCTTGATTTCCACCCGCCCCCCACAAGGAGTTCTGCGTGCAAGCGTGATTTAAAACTCGAACTCTGACTTGGAAGTGTCGAAGTCTTGTTTTTCTTAAGTAATTTTAATTACATGCTGTAAATGCAAAGTAGCTCTTTTGACTTGAATGATACAATCTTCAGGATTACTGCACAAGTTTAATCTCATTCAAATGGGACTTTATTGTTCCAGAAGGAATTTTGGAGTTGAATGTGCTGCTGTCCAAACTATCTCCAGAGTAGGGTACGTTTTTAGCAATTTGAGATAAAATACATTTTAGAAATATAGTGATAAGACTTCTTAACAGCAATTCAAAGACAGCATGAGCTAGAAGCTTTTGTCTCTTCTAACTAATGATTTCTGCTTTACTTTTTTTTTTTAGTACTGATTTTTTTGACAAAGATGGAGTGATGAAGGACATCAGGGCTATATATCAGGTTTATAATGCACTTCAGGAAAAAGTCCAGGTAACTTCCTTTACTTAATATTGGTCAGTATGTATGTGGCATCTTTTGTTTGTCCTTTGGACAAACCAGGCATGGAGGAGATGGAGTTTTTTTTAGAGCTCAAAACCAATTTATCATGAACTGTAAGAAAATAAGACTGACTTTAATAATGAAATGTGTCAGGTTTTTTGCAGTGGCTGCTGTAAAAGCAGTTGATACGAATATCATCAATTCTTTCTCTTTTGCAAGTAAGGATGATTTAATGCTTAGTGATTTCTGGGAGATGTTAGCTATTTTTAAGAGTATGCGTTGAAGAAAAGCCTTGCTGAAGGCTGTAGGGATCTGCACAGGTTTAAAGGCTTGCCTGTGTGAGTTTAAAAATGGCTCCTGGCTCTTGGTATGTACCATGCAGCAAAGAGCTCCATCTGTTAGTTAAAACTTGTGAATGTTTTGTGTAGAGCATGAGTGAATCCTGCTCCAAATGTGGCAAAGCATCTGAAAGTGCCTTGAGTGTCAAATCTACTAAATGTAAGCTTGTCAATTCACAGCTTGTCCTATGTGAAGAGCAGCGTAGCTGTGCTGCCTCGGGAGCACACACATCTGCTAATTGCACAGTAGTCACAGCTTATTTCCAGGCTTTCCCCTTACATCTGCCCTGGAGGGATTTGTGTCTCTGCTGCAGCTTAGCTTCGCTGGTTGGCACATACAGCAGAGAGCAAGGCAGTAATCGCTCCAGCCGTCCCCTGACCCTGCTTGTACAGAACTGCTGCTTCTCAGGGGGAGTTGCTAATTTCTAACCTGCCTTGTAAGGTAGGTAGCTTGTTAAAAAAACCCCAAAAAACCCAGACAGCTTTCATGCTGGCTTCAGGAGACGTGAAAATTTATATTTGGAGGCCTATCTTGCTAGGTAAGGGTAGTATTGTGTAATGCTGTTTTTGCCAAGAGCACATATATCATTTTGTTTGAATTGGTGTCTGGGAAAATGGAAAATGTCACATCATCAGGGAGTTGTCTTCCTACCTGTTAAACCTACGACTTTGTTGTACTTCACCATGTAAATCGTGCTGCTGTACATCGCTTACAGAGCTTTAAAAGTAACTTAGGTGTTAGCTAACCTTTATCTGTAAAGTGACTGTTTCATGGAGAATGCTACAGGACTGGAAGCAAGTGTTCTGGTAAAGCAGCTGAGACACGTTATTATTGGATTATTCACCAGTTAGTTGGTAGGCGAGGGTTTAAACTTTGTAAACTTTAAAAATTAGGTATAGAACTGAAAGCGTCGTTAATGTGTTCAGCTCTGTAGGAAAGATCCCTAATAGTACCCTTTTGGAGAAGAAAGAGTAAATGGCTGGTGACTTGCTGTTTAAGACTCATCAGTGCTTGTAGAGTTGTGTACTCTTCAAAACTAATCTTGTTTGATGATAATGACCAATACTTAATTTCTGAAGAAGTAAATGATATCCAGGATATAACATGTTTATAGTAAAAAACCCAAAATCAATATTATCCAGAACTGTTTTTAAA